CGTACGGTCCAGCTAGCGGCGATCAAGCGTCGATATAGTTCAGTTCGACAGTTTGACTGTTAAACCTTAAATGAAGATTAGTAGACACCAGCTGAATAGATTTATGAATTTGCTTAACGGCGAATGAACGCATTGAAATCAAAATTGATTTTCTTTAAGCTCAGCTCTCTACAATTCTGCTGTCAGATGATTAACGTGGACGCTACTTTAGTCCCTTAAATTTATCATTTCTCAATGCGTCAGCAATTGAAATTATATTCATGAAACAGGGACGCATTTTGTGACACAAATCTTGGCAATGACTGGTGTAAGCCGCACTGGTACAACGGACGATTACTGGTCATTCTGATTTTTCGGTAAGAATATTCTCTCTAACCAAGCACCTTTGCAGTGATAACATGGATGATAGAGCAGTAAAACAGAGAGTGTATAGATTGGTGGGAGTGACGGCCTCTCATCCCATTTGGCGCAATTTTCGATTGAGTATCGAAAGTAATCGGAAATTTGCGTCACCACGCTCTGTGATTGGTCCAGAAAATTTAAACTCTCGCTCCCTTCGGAACTAATCATATGCAACGCTAAACCCAATTGCGACTCGTACCCTCGCGTGTTTCCACGACCTTTGCAGTTTTGCTTGGTTTTACTTTGAATTCGTATCTGTTCTTTGAGATAATTTCCTCTCCTCTGATTGGCCGATATATTAACTTTGGCTTTGGTTTCAAGACACGCAATCTAAGTGCACTATTAGGAATTCTATTTCTTTCTATCTATGCGAACGACTGAGAAAATGGCTCTAACCAATTGTAAATAGCCCGTTTCCCATCTCTCTGGTTAAAAAAAGCACATGACATAATATTCGTGTTTTCGTGTCTCAAGCGAAATTGTTAGTTACTTCTTAGATGTTCCCTTAACATATAAACGGGTTTAAATCCTAATATACCAATTTCATTTCATTTTTATTACTGAGACTCATTATATTTTTATTTGCTTGCTCTTTTTGTTACGTACATGTTCAAACGCAAATAATTTAGTGTTTAAACCAATAAAAGGTGAGTTTGATTCAAAGGTTTTGCGCATCCTCAATGCACATATTTATAGCGCAAAATCGTTGCAGTGAACGGCTTTCAACTTGAAAAGCGCCTAACTCCAAGTGGCACCATGAGTGTTCGTGTCAATCAGGAGAATCTCAGGCGTGAGTCATCGATTTCCATGCACGAAAATTGGAATGGTTTTAATCTAATCTAAAATTTCTTTGCTAATGGGGAGTCTACATTTCCATCAGTCTGTTCTAAACGGCGAAAGATTAGTCTTTTTAAACGCAGCCAAATAATTTCCGCCTGAGTGCAACACCAAATCAACACGCCGTTAGTTGTATGTTAGTGAATATTTTATAATAGTGGTGTTTACGTTAGTGCGTGACAGTCTGTCACTCCATTAAGCAAGAAACAATAAAGTTCCGCAATGTTCACCACAGGAAAAAATCATTTCTGTAGCCTCGTCGTCCTTGTCCACTGGACTCAAAGAGCCTCACTCCAGTAATAACCTTTTTCACATTTGCCTATTTTAGCTTGTTAGCAAATAAATTTATACCCTCATCATCTTGCCGCAATATCAGTAAGTAAATAATATTTCGGAACAAAAGGAATAACAAAAATACAGATAAAATGCATCATTTTACGCGACAGCACATTTACCGTCTAGACAGCAAGAACCATAGCTGGGAAACGTGATAAAGCGATTCATTGTTTTAAGACGACGAAACTACAACTAAAGGGCACCTAAAAACTATATAGTTTTTATAGTTTTGAGGCGCCCTTGAGATTCTTATCCTATTCAGTTTCAAGCTTGACTTTTCCATTTCACTTATGTATTTTTGGCGGTTACGGCGTAAACCAACTGAACCAACCGCTGTAACACGAAACCATTTCGGTTTGTAGGAAACCATTTGTCGTCACGCTAAACCATTTGGGGTCACGCTAAACCATTTCACTTTACGGTGAGTAGATTGATGCGATACTAAACCATTGCGGCTACGATTAACCATTTGCCGATAACCTAGGCCATTTCACACCACTCTGAACCGTTTTTGTCAAGTTACTGAACCAAAGGACAGTACGCTGAACCGTTTGTCATTTCGACACTGAACCATTTCAGTTAACACTTGGCCACTCATGTTTTTATTGAATCAATTCAACAAGGGTGGCTACACAGCTCCTCAATTGTATAAACCATTTTTTGTTTGAATATTTCATTTCACCAAATGCGACTTGTCCATTTGTATTTTAAATAAAACTCTTAAGATAAGATAATCGTTCTCCAAAAGACAATCAGACTCTATCTGTTATTACAAACCAATTCTATTTTTTGTTTTTTTGGCGGTGACAGCTGCCCATATGTGGGCTCTTCTTTCAATTTCAGTTGGAGCATTTCCGGCTTCAAGCTTGCACAGACTTATGGGCCAAAGAACTCTTTGTTTCATTTTCACAACGCGCCGTTGCGATTCTCCGTTCTAGGACATAGCTTTCGAGTCTTTCTTTGTACTCTCTCTGTCTTAGTGACTTTGAAACATTTTCATGACGGACTGAGGAAGGAAGGTCGTAAAATAGTCAAACGTGCCATCCATTTCCGCGACAGAGGTAAGAACGCATGGTTTTATCAGATTTTTGAGTGTAAGGTAAATACTTTTATTTTAAATGTTTTTAGTTGAGATTTCCTCCTTCAAATGTTCCTCATCTTTCCGAACTTTCGCTGATTTCCGACAATGAAAGACGTTCCTGCAGTTAAGTGACGACGATTGCCAACTTTTACTTTATTCTGGCGTGTATTAATTGTATTGCCGCTTCGTGTTAGCTACAAGCTTGTTTGAACAAGTTACAGCTGTCGAATTCACAAAAATTCGCAAGCAATGCCTGGCATTTACCTTGGACAAAATAAGTAATTCGGGAGAGTTACAAAGGATATCGAAATTATCGATTTGATTCAGTGCAAGCCCTTTTGATCGCAACACTTTCAGTTTCGTTTACGTGTAATGCGGAGCATGTACACAATCGTGTTTGGCACTAGCCTTCATGTCGGGCTTATGTGCGTATCAACTTAATTTGCTCCCGTATTTACGATGCATTTGATCAAAAAGCGATAAATATTTTCAGCGTATTTCATGTGTTTATGTTTATCATTTTATACTGTAGTTTGAAAGTGATTTTTTCCTTTCGATAGACAGCTTAGATTGTCCTTCCAAACTGTACTGTTATACTGATTTCCTTGTTAAATATCGAGACAAGTTGATTTTTCTTCAAATTCAGCTAGTTATTTACTGCAAGAGTCCTTTCAATTAACTGCATTCGAGTTTTAGGAATCCAATTCATCAACTGGTAATGATTGATTAGTGTCTGAGTGAAGTTTTACCTTTTTGTCATCTGCTAATCAGCATACGATCAATCAATAATCATATCAACTGAATGTTTCCGATCACTTTTCTTTTATCAAAACTGGTTTAGTTCTGCATGAGGCTGCATGCATCCAAGTATGTGTTTGTTGATAATTTATGTTGTTATGTGGCAAGGTAGTCTTGGGATAAATGTAAAGTTCTGATTGATTCTTACTTGGTCAGGATTTTGCCACATAGACCATCATTGCACCATACAAAAAATCATAAAACATGTAAATTCATTGTAAACTAGTTTAGTCCAAGTGACATTGGTGCATGACAATTACCTTGCTCTCTTGAGGGGTACTGCGGAATATTGGCACCATGTCATTCCTATACTGTTACAACCTTGGGCCAATCTACCTCTGTAAAGCCCTGGCAGTCAGCTGGTTATATTGAAGTTTGTAGTGGTTTTTGTAAAAGCAATATACACTTACAATTTTGTGCAAAGACAATGTAAATATAGAATAACTGCAAAAACAATTAGTTAAATATACATATACTACTAAAGCAAAAATGTCAGCACCTGTACCAAATTGAAATCCATTTCAACATACATCAGCATGCATAAATGTAAATATTTCACTGTTTTTCCTGTGATAAAGTGAAACAGTTGAACTAACAATCACCTATACAAATGTGGGCATCAGCTCAACTGTAGGAAATTGAATAAATAAAATACATCTTTTATAAGTTTTGACTAGTAATCCCTATTTAAAAATCAAATATGAAAATTTTACTTTGGTGTTGTAAAATTTGTTTCTTATGAGAAATGATTCAGCATAAACTCTCTCCTCTTGCGGAGACATGGTGGTCTTATGATTAGTGAGGTGGACGCACGGTCAAGAGGTCTGCATTTGTAGCCTGGCCTGTGCTGGACTCAGGGTCAAGAGGTCTGGGTTCCAGTCAATGTGTTGTGTTCTTGTGCAAAACACTTTACTCTTACAGTGTCTGTCTCCACCCAGGAGTATAAATGGGTAGCAAAAATTAGTTAGGGAAACCTGATAAAATGCAAGGGGGATGATGGTGGAATGGACCTGCATCCTGTCCAGGGTTGGGTAGTAATACTCCCAGTTGCTTCATGTAAGGAAACCAGGATTAAGTAAAGCTCAGGCCCTGGACGGGCCACTTTTCAAATCCAGATGTGACCTAACTACCTACCACCTCTTAGTTTAAATGATTTAAATTGCTACTGTTACAAATTATATAAAAATTGAAACACACAGATGTTAATTTTTGCCCAATTTATTTCAGTCAATTGCATAGGAATGTCTTTGGTAAATCTTGAAATTTATTGTAATGAGAAGTAAATTACTGTTTATTTAAATATTAATGCTTGTTTTCTTCAGTATATATATGTTTTGTTCTTTTACTGCTTTAAATATGCTATTAATATTAATTGCTAGTGATTCTGTGTCTATGTATCCCTCCCATTCTCAGGAGGGAAAAATATTTAGTTTACAATTGGGTAATATGTTGAGCTATTTTTTTACCATTTGCAACCATCTTCTTTTTCAGGCCAGGATGACTTAAAACAGCAACTTTTTGAAAGAAGCATCCCCTTACAGTTGCTATGGCTAAAGAAAGAAGTCCAATTAAGGTTCCATCTGAAAATGAAGACTTACCTGACAAAGAAAATGCTCCAGATTTTGATGAGGACACTTTACGAGGTGAGCTAGGTTCAACTTTGGCTTCAGTCAGTGTTCAAACATTTTCTATTCCACCAGTTTCAAGAATGTAAGCAGATGTGGAGAATGATATTAATACACGGCATGACCACCTTAAAGTATGTTTGGCCAGTCATGACTCTCTTCTATGATTACAATATGCTGTTCATTGACTGAGAGGATCCATGACATATTTGTTATTTTCTTTTCTCAAATTTCAAAGCAAGGACACAAAGTTATAATAAGTAAAGACTTTATTTGATCATCATATAACATTCATTTTGTAAGTTTGCATCATAAGTACCATCATCATCATCATCATCATCTTTCCATTATATTATGCAACATTAAATTGAAAGTTTCAGCTTCCCCTAAGCAACCAATTTCCAGTAGAGTGCAAGTGTTATATCATTGAATATGGAGGTGTTTAACCCTTGACACCCTAACATCAGTATCGATATTCTCCATACTATTCTTTGTATGTTTCTTGTGGTACTGAAAAAAAGAATTCATTTGAAGATCAATGCTTCATAGGTTGGTGATCATTTCCTTTATTCTCATGAGCTTAGTGAATGATTCAGCAGTATTACTCCAAGCTTTTCAGGGGATGGGTCAAGTCAGGCAGGTGCAAAAGTGGCAGCTGGCACTAAAGAAAAAATCTACAGATTTTAAATCTCCAGATCTTGGCAGCTCTGCTTATGCACTAATTTACTACAACCACAGGTAATTATTAACTACAAGCACAGACTTTGACACAATTTTTTTTATTTTTATTTTTTCTTTGCAGCCACAGCTGATGTTTATAGGAATGAGGGTAATGAGGCCTTCAAGAAAGGAGATTTCATCAATGCTATTCGTTTTTACACCAAAGGAATTAAAATGAACTGCAATGAGAAAGAACTGAAGGCCAAACTGCACAACAACAGGGCTATTGCACATTTTAAACTTGGTAAGATGATGAGAGCTTTAATATGCATTTTTTTTCTATTTTGAAGCTATTGAGTTGTCAGTAGTAGTTTTCTGAAAAAGGTGATAATTTTGAATGCATGCCCGGAAAAATTTAGATCTTATCTTGGCCTCTCAAATATACAAAGAAGTAATCTCTTACCCCAGATATCAACGAGCATCACAAGTTTTTCTCAAAATTATAGTAATGGTAGTTGGTTTGCAACATGTATGGCTAATCAGGTATTTATTTCAATAACAGGAAATCACCAGGATTCACTAAGGGATGCAGAAGCAGCCATTGAGTTAAATCCAACTTTCCTTAAGGCAATTGTGAGAGGTTAGATATGTTAGCTGTGTTATAATAATAATAACAAAAGAACTCAACACTCTAAGGTTAAATGAGGTTAAATGGAGTTCAATCTTGTCTCAATTGACTTTAATTAAGAGGTCGAGACCACCCTGATGTACATTTGAATCCAGCTCTTGACTGCTATGCCATTACTTTCCATTAATCATGATAAGAATATTGTTTTGAACGGGATGAAGAACTCAATGTGGAATGCAAAGTAAAATTTCAGCATGAATATTTTAGTTCCTTAAGTCCAATGAGTCACAGGTGTCAGATATGTTAAGAGCGTGTCCACGAGAGCACCGGGCAGTCGTGCTCCAAGCCATCTCACCGATTTCAATGAAACTTTGGCAGTTTAAAGGGTCTACCCCAAAACTCAAAGAGACAAACTGGTTTCTGTTTTGGTTCTTCCAGGGGGGGAAAGACCACCCCCGGTTTTTCTTGGTTTTCACCAAGGAAATCGCTTCAAATAGGTAAAATGTATGAAGCTCTCACGGCGATGGTCTCTAACCGATTACTTTGAGGATTTGCACACATATTTTTACATCCTTAGTTAATGTCTGCTGCGAGCATCAGTCAGTTTGATCGATGGCTTGTCAATCAAAAGAGGCAAATATACGACTTTAGTTTTAGACTTTTCGATTCATCCAAATATTTGACAACTTTGAGGTCAAATATCTCCCGTTTCCAGAAAGCTACAACACTAATCCTAATTCCCCTTTATAACCCATCATTTCATCTCTGAAAATCATCAAAAAAATCTTTGGGCACTACCGTATTTTTGTCTTGGATGCCTTTTAAAATCTGCGACTGTGACAAGTTTCTCTCAACTACACCTGTCACGCAATTCTTGCTCTAGGCGGTCACTTGACAAAATAAACCTACATTTTTTAGCTCTTTATACAAGATGATTGATCAAGAAAGGTGAAAAATGTGAAAAACTTTCGAGGTAATTTGTAGGAATGGAAAATTTGACGTTTAGAGAGATGCATGTAAACGAAAAATCAATGAGAAAATCGTAGCGTTTCTTTCTTCAGTCGTTTATTACTTTGAAGATTTGCTAAAATTAGCAGATATGGCTTTTGTACGGCACAAAACATTCATTAGTCTATAATATGATTGTTAATCATCATCATTGCTCATTTTAGGAGATTTTAAAGTCACATGTTGCGTGTTGGTTGATATTACTAATTGTTCCAGTGTGCTACAACTTCGGCTTTTACAGACGAGAAATTCTGCGCTCTCGCTCGAGAGCAAATATCAATAGTTCTATCGGAATAAAAACTGTGCCTCTATCCCGAAAATAAAATTAAAATAGTGTTGTCGTTGTCACTTACCGCCATAGAACATTTCAATGCAGAACTCCGCTAAACTAACATCTGTTGTGTGACCCGGCGAAGACTCTTAGTAGGAATTATTCAAGCGCGTTGTTCATGCTGTCTGCTAGATAACAATTTCAGAATAATCTGCAGATCTCTATGATTATTTGCCTGCTTCGATCGTAAAATATCTGCATATTTTTTTCAAGCATTCTATTACTACACATAAATCTACATCTCTCTAGATCGAGTGTTGCCGGCGTTTAATTGCGTGACTTGTAAAATTTTTAAATAAGGATCTGAGCCAGCGGTAATTTGACGAGTAGCCTTCTTGCAAATTTACCTTGATGAAATCCCAAGACATAGCCAGTTGTTTTCGTGAGCAAAGACAATAAATATCAGAGAAAAGTGAGGTCTCTCCTTATCTTCTGCCTTGTTCGGTCAGTTTCGAATTCAGAAGCTTGATCATTGGCATCGGCCTTAATCATAGAGGGGGACCTCATCAATAAACCAATTTTTGTTACGGCAGAAAACCGGCTGAAGTATCGAGCGATTTGCTGCTGTATCAACCGGTCAGTCTTAGACAACATTTCTGGCTGGTGTCGTCTCTTAAACTCGATATTTGGGAAATCACATTAGCGGCGGTTGCCTCACTAGTTTCCTCCCTTGTCCAGCACACGTCTAGGAGATAATTGTCTGCTTTCTGAGAAAAGGTAGCTGTTTTTTGTGTTTTCCAATGAGCCCATCCAAAGTCCTCTTGGCTAGTTAGGGGTTGTTCGTCAGAATTTTTACCTGAGGTCCGACCTGAAATGTAGCCATCCCCTATAGAATGGCAAGCCGGTCTTAGTCCATTTCCTCTTGATCTTATCCTAGGCGGAATTTTTTTCTCGGCTTCTCTGTGTTTGTCTTTGTCAGGATACATCCTTCTTTTAGCAAGAATATCTGGCTTTCTTGTTCCGTCTATGACGGATTGGGTATAGTTCTCGCGATGACCCGCGTTCAGAAATCTGTGCACGTTGCTGATAAGCACCCGCTTCTACGACTAGTTTGCTGAAAGTTTCTAATGTGATGAGCCTAGTGAGATCCTGAGGTGCTTCAAACTGTGCCAGTTGGTCTGCGCTATAAACTTGTCGCAGTTCTTAAGTCAGAGGGAGGATCGCCCACCTCTATCTATGTGAGCGCTTCTACAATACCTGCGTATCCCTAGCAATCATATGATATAAAGTTCATCTCAGTCACAAATCACCAGTTAGGAAAACTGATATTCAGATAAGCGCTCTTCTTGCCCTTCTCCTTATTCATTGTCGACTCTAAGATAGCAGCTACAGTACGCGTTCTATTTAGGTTTACAGTCACCTTGCCGCCACCAGCTTTGATTTCTTCTGCCATCTGCAGATTCATCTCTCTCTCTCTTTTTATGTCTCCGATTTTTATGAGGAGGATACTGGCATTTACGAACCCGAAGGTCTGAATCTCACACCAAGTTGTGCACGATATTTGAGGTACATCGTGAAATGGCGGCCTTCGTAATCTCCAAATAAGCCACTACGCGCTAGAATAAGCTTCATCTCGGACGAAACGCATGTTTGGGATACATCGACGTCTCTCAAATGTTTTTTTTAAAGCTGTATACCCACAAATTTAGAGGTGTGAGCTGTTGCCGTCCCTGGCCAGCGCGAGAAAAGTAACATTTGGTTGTACAGTTAGTTGCAAATGAACAAGACAACTGCACCATCTTGACTTACCAATTCGAGTGTTAGATTGAATTGAGGGCTTTTTAGACACTCGATTTCTTATATGGCATCACTATGAAGACGTAATACAACTGATACACCTACACTGCATAGGATTAACAATGTCTGTTGTGCTATTGTGAGAAGGAGGAAAATATTACCAGAAGTGTACGCTCTTTTTAAAAAGAGTTTCAGAGACGTTTCAGAGATGTCTATCTTTGATCGGCTGTCACAAAAAAATGATCCCCACTTAAATTTACTAGGAAAAATGAACTTACCAACTGCTTGTTGAAAAAATTGGAATTCATTTGACCGATACGCCGGTTGTTTCAATTTTTCTTTTTCCTCGGGCTGCTATGAAACAGTTCATAAATTGACTAATGAATAAAGTGTTTTGAAATACCGTTCGGGATTTGCCTTTTTTTTCTGCGTGCAAATCAAGGGTAGACAAAGTTTTTAAAACATTTGACTAGAATTTCATGGAGTTCACCTCGATAATTCTCGTCGGCCAGAGTCAAGACGCGCCAAGCTGAGCGACATCGCCCTCCAGTAAAAAAATTTTCAAAAGAATAAACGTGGCGAGCGCGAGGAAACGCACATTTTTTTCATCATTGTGATCAAAGCCCAATGATGTACCTAAATTGGTACTTACAGTATCAAACCATTGATTATGATAGGGTGAGCTCAGTTTTTCTGTCGAGATCGATGTGACTTCACATTAAAAGCATTTTTGACGGAACAAACTACACTGCACGAACTGAGAAAGTAAAAACTTGTATTTATCTCCCACGCGTTTCGTTTGACAATAGTAGAGTTCATCAAGGATTTTTTCAAGTAGGGTAAATAAGCTTGCTCATATACAAATAGTAAATAAGTTGTCTCTTTACTATTGAAGTCAGTGGATAGAATACGCCAGGTGCGCCTACGGTGTTATACATGCGTGACATTTTCCGGACGTTACACGTACGAGTACGTGATCCGTCTAAGGGTCAGCCGAAGTTGTTACACTCGGGAACTTGTACGTCAACAAGCAGGCGACATGTGACTTTAAATCTCCTCTCCTGTTACAGTTTCCTTATTGTAAACTGTGCGATAATGATAATAGACGATCAAAGTATAGGCTAATGAATGTTTTGTTCTGTACAAGAGCCCTATGTCCTGATTTTAGCAAATCTTCAAAGTAATAAACGACTGAAGAAAGAAACGCTACGATTTTCCCATTGATCTTCCGTCAACATGCATCTCTCTAAACGTGAAATTTTCCATTCCTACAAAAAATCTCGAAAGTTTTTCACATTTTTCACCTTTCTTGACCAATCAACTTGTATAAAGAGCTAAAAAATGTAGGTTTATTTTGTCAAGTGACCGCCTAGAGCAGGAATTGCGTGACAGGTGTAGTTGAGAGAAACTTGTCACAGTCGCAGATTTTAAAAGGCATCCAAGACAAAAATACGGTAGTGCCCAAAGATTTTTTTGATGATTTTCAGAGATGAAATGATAGGTTATAAAGGGTAATTAAGATTAGTGTTGTAGCTTTCTGGCAACGGGAGATATTTGACCTCAAAGTTGTAAAATATTTACATGAATCGAAAAGTCTAAAACCAAAGTCGTATGTTTGCCTCTGTTGATTGAGAAGCCGTCAATCAAACTGACTGATACTCGCGGCGGCCATTAACTAAGGATGTAAAAATATGTGTGCAAATCCTCAAAGTAATCGGTTAAATACCATCGCAGTGAAAGCTTCATACATTTTACCTATTTGAAGCGATTTCCTTGGTGAAAACCGGAAAAAACCAAAACAGAAACCAGTCTGTTTTTTTTAGTTTTGGGGTAGACCCTTTAAACTGACAAACTTTCATTGAAATCGGTGAGATGGCATGTAGCACGACTACCTGGTGCTCTCGTGGACACGCTCTTAAGTCACTATCTAGCTGTTTTAAAAAGAAGGATCAGGACTTACCTAACTCTTAGTGTTTTTGTGGGAGTTGTTGATCCCAATTTAAGTGTTCTTAGAAGTTTCAGTTGTCTGTAAAGCTAAATAAATTTAACTGAAACCTAATAGGGCCTGTTTATTCTTTTCCGTTGAGTTTTTTTGTATTGTTTTGTTGTCTCTTTTTTTTTTCTTCCCGGTCTGTAATGATTTCAATGGTTTCAGGTTCTTTTCTCAGAATTGAGCTACAGTAATAGTATGCTTCTTTGTGTTGTTGCCTACAGGAGCCACTGCTTGTGTTGAATTGAAGAGATTTGAAGAAGCAATCACTTGGTGTGATAAGGGACTAGCTGTATCCTTTGAAGGAATCTTTCATTTTTAACCGTGGGTATAATGGAAAAAAGTTTCCATAATTTGATGTTTCAAGGGAGAAAATACAAAGAAGGGTATTAATTATGATGGGAACTTGTCAGCTCTTATACTTTAAGTGTGTGTGATTAAAAACATAGGAGAAGTTATTACCTCATGACTTATTAATGAAATTACTCCTTTTAGCCAATTTGACTTAGTTCTACTATCCATGCCAATAACTGGTACATTAGTTTAAATAACCCTTAAATTCCCAGACCAAATTTGTAATTATCCTTACTGTCAACCATACAATTCTTGTAATGTTAGTACAGAGAATTCAGTATTGCATCAACTAATTATTTTGAAATTGATATATTTTTTTTTACTCTCAACACTTATCTGATTGATATTGTATTGCTATTGTAAGGAGAAATTCTCTTTTGGTCACTCACGGGAGTCAAAGGGTTGGAAGACTAATATTCATCCAGTTTATACATAGTACTTGGGTAGATGATCTCTCTAAGACAAGCCAGAACAAAAAGCTCTGTAATGTTTCTATATCTTATGCAGATTTTCTTGCCTTCGACCTTTTGCCTCTACTTAGAGACTCAGAAACTTTCGTTGTGCTTTCCTATGGACAAATAGAAATTTTAAAGACATGTATTTGTGTTGTAGACTCATTTTTTCCACTGCTGTGAAACATTTGTCTGATGTTAAAGCTATATTAATTTAAAAATTGAGCAAGTGCTGCTCAGTTTTTGAAAACTAGGGATTAAATCTAGACATTTCGCGTTAAATTTTGAGGCTGCACACAGAAAAAACATTTTTTGAAGTGTAGATTTACTTCATAACTGACTTTAAGACTGAATGTTGATAAATCATCTACCTTTAATGCAAAGCCCTCCTAATGGGCCATTTTATAGTTGTGTACTTAGTTGCCAAGCCTTTGATTTGGAGTGAGGCTGAAGGTGACCTTGTTGTGATAGAGACCAGTATCTAGAAACGATAATAACAATGTAGTTTGCATTTAAAAAGCAGCAATGTTTTTATCGTAACAAGGTCACCCTTAATCATGGCTCTTGTTCAGAGGTTTGGGAACCAAGCACGCAAATGTTAAAATGGACTATTACATATCAATATGATCAGAAACATAATCTTTTTTGTTTTTTCCACATTTTTAACCCTTAACATAAAAAAGATTGACAAAAACAATAGGATCTTGTCGTCATTAAGACTTCAGTCTGTCAGTGAAGTGGGAGATAAGTCCATGGAGGAAAAAGATCCTATTAGTCATGACCACGGTAGTGCAAGTTCAGGTGATGTCAAGAAAGTCATAGATCACCATAATCAGGGAAAAGAAGCCATAGAGTACCTCAACCTACTTCTTAAAATAGCTAAAGAAGAAGGAGACAAGCATGGGGAGGGTACCGTTTATAACAATCTTGGCAATGCTTATTTTAGTCTGGGTGATTTCAAAAAAGTCATAGAGTACCACAACCTACATCTTAAAATAGCTAAAGAAGTAGGAGACAAGCATGGGGAGGGTGCTGCTTATGGCAATCTTGGCAATGCTTATGACCGTCTGTGTGATTTCAAAAAGGCCTTAGAGTACCACCACCTAGATCTTAAAATCGCTAAAGAAGTAGGAGACAAGCATCGGGAGGGTGGTGCTTATGGCAATCTTGGCAATGCTTATTACCGTCTGTGTGATTTCGAAAAAGCCATAGAGTACCACAACCTAAATCTTAAAAAAGCTAAAGAAGTAGGAGACAAGCCTGGGGAGGGTGTTGCTTATGGCAATCTTGGCAATGCTTATTTTTATCTAGGTGATTTCAAAAAAGCCATAGAGGACCACAACCTAGATCTTAAAATAGCTAAAGAAGTAGGAGACAAGCGTGGGGAGGGTAACGCTTATGGCAATCTTGGCAAAGCTTATGGCCGTCTGGGTGATTTCAAAAAAGCCATAGAGTACCAAAACCTAAATCTTGAAATAGCTAAAGAAGTAGGAGACAAGCATGGGGAGGGTGATGCTTATGGCAATCTTGGCAATGCTTATTTCATTCTGGGTGATTTCAAAAAAGCCATAGAGTACCACAACCTACTTCTTAAAATAGGTAAAGAAGTAGGAGACAAGCATGGGGAGGGTGTTGCTTATGGCAATCTTGGCAATGTTTATATCAGTCTGGGTGATTTAAAAAAAGCCATAGAGTACCAAAACCTAAATCTTGAAATAGCTAAAGAAGTAGGAGACAAGCATGGGGAGGGTGTTGTTTATGGCAATCTTGGCAATGCTTATGCCTGTCTGGATGATTTCAAAAAAGCCATAGAGTACCAAAACCTACATCTTAAAATAGCTAAAGAAGTAGGAGACAAGCATGGGGAGGGTAAGGCTTATGGCAATCTTGGCAATTTTTATGGCAGTCTGGGTAATTTCAAAAAAGCCATAGAGTACCACAACCTACATCTTATAATAGCTGAAGAAGTAGGAGACAAATCCTCTGAGGCAATGGCCTACTGTTCATTAGGATTGGTTTTTGAGTTTCAAGGTGGACTGCCAAAAGCCGTTGAACATTACCAAGCTAGCATAAACTTATTCAATTCCTTGAGAGCACTTCTAATATCTAAAGATGAGTGGAAAGTTAATTTTCGAAATCAGTATCAAATGGCGTATACGGGTTTGTGGAGAGTTCTCGTAGAACAAGGTAATGTAGATGAAGCCTTATTTGTTGCTGAGAAAGGACGAGCTCAAGCTCTGACCGACCTCTTGGAATCCAGTTTTTGTGGTGGAACAAGTCACCACAAGGGAGAAGATGAAGATTGCGCAGTTTTAAAAAACGTGCCATCAAACACTGTCTTTCAGGCAGTGGACAAAGCTAACGTCAATCTTTGGGTTGTGTCCGAGGGAAAACAAGTTCAGTTAAGACAAAGTAAACTCAAAGGTTTTGTTTCAGAGAATAGTGGATCTAGCCTGTCCTTTGAGTCGTTCATGCTCGGTGTCTATACACAACTTGGTGTTTGTTCTAATGTGAGATGCGAGAATCGATCTCTAGATGCTTTGAGGGAGGGCCGTTCGAAAGTGGATGAGAAAACCAAAGAAGCCAAGCCTCAACCTCACATCCAACAAGACGGATGCTTGAGCACTTTGTATGATATCGTTATGAAGCCGGTGGCTGACTTGATTGAAGGGGATGAGCTACTCATTATTCCTGATGGACCCCTGTGGATCGCTCCTTACGCTGCATTGAAGGATGGTAATTCTAAATACCTGTGTGAATCGTTCACAATCCGAGTCGCTCCATCGTTAGCAAGTCTTAGACTCATTGCCGATTGCCCAGATGATTATCACAAAAGCAGTGGTGCGTTACTTGTAGGAGATCCGTGGGTATCCGAGGTTACTAACAGCAAGGGAAAGAAAGTCTTCGAGCAGCTTCAGTATGCTAAAAAAGAAGTAGAAATGATTGGAAAAATTCTGAATATCACGCCAATCACTGGCAGTCAGGCCACGAAACGTGAGGTGTTGAAAAGAATCAGTTCCGTTTCCCTAGTTCACTTTGCGGCACACGGATGTATGGAAACTGGCGAAATTGCTCTTACACCTGACCCAGACCGAATATCTACTGTGCCAACGGAGGAGGATTACATTTTAACAATTGGAGATGTGTTGAATGCTCAACTTCGGGCCAAACTTGTTGTGCTTAGTTGCTGCCACAGCGGCCGGGGCGAGATCAAGGCTGAAGGTGTGGTTGGCATTGCACGCGCTTTTATGGGGGCTGGTGCTCGGTCTATTGTGATGTCCCTGTGGGCGATTGATGACGAGGCTACTCTTGAGTTCATGAAATACTTTTATCAACAACTTGCAGGAGGTAAACCAGCTAGCGAGTCACTGAACCTGGCCATGAAAAGCCTCAGAGAATCAGACAAGTTCTGCGACATCAAACACTGGGCGCCCTTTTTGCTGATTGGAGATGATGTCACTCTTGACTTCATGGCAAAGGAAAGAGAAAATTTGAATATGAAATCTCATAAATGAAAACTTTTTGTTTCATCTCAAAATGAATGACGCAGGAATTTGGAAGGTTTAAATGCTTCTCTATTTTGGCGCTTTTTGGCTATTTTTCATTACTTTTCACTTTTTTGTTAAATGGAACTTGAGATGTGTGACTTTACTTTAGTGAAGAAATAAAACAGACTATTTCAGTATATTTTGTTCAGTGGAATTGCTATTTTTTACCTTTACAAATTTAGGTGCTTGCGAAGAGAACAAGATGCAACAAGGCTTCTGCTGTTAATGCCTGAAGTTGTTGAAGGCGACTACGAGGTTTTCGTTTCGCCAAAATGACACTCAGATCTATTCCTTTATTGCAATCAGTTATGTGTAAAATAATTTAAAGGTTTTTTTCTTGTACACAACCAGGAGCTTGTCCACCGGGTTTTAATTACGTTGATACTCTAAGCTTTTGATAAGCAAAGAAACAGTTTGTCATTTGCAAAAGGTGGCGAAATTTTAATTTCAAAAATGTGATTTGCAAAATTCGCAGCCATATGTGAATTGATCTTAATGGTTTTTCTATGTCATAAATTACTTTGTTGCAATTTGCAATTGTCTTTACAAAAAAATTGATTATCATTTTCAACTTTTTTTCAATCCATTTTAATGCAATCTAATTCCATCAGTGCCAAGATTGCCATTCTAAGCTTAATTTGAAGAAGTAATCATCAGAGATGATGTTGTTGAATTTACTGATCATATGTTAGAGACATTAGACCTACTATCAGGGGTGTGGCCAGCCTCTAGTCCCGTGGGCCCGGCCTACAATTGTTTTCCGCCCGCTTGACTTTTCTAATATGACTCTTACAAATGTTGAAGTTTCCATTGCTGTGACTTTTAATGTAGGTGACATGGAATTTGTTGTTTTCATTAGGAAAATATTTACGCCAATAAAATTAGGGAAACACTTGAAGTAAGCCATGTAGTCCTCAATGGGAATTATTTTGGTGAAAATGTTCATGAATAAATGTAATTCTAGGCCGTAGTTAAAAAGGTTCAGGGCTTTAGGATAAAACTTGCATTTTTTTGAAAATTTGCTGTTCAAATTTATTTTCATGGCTTTAAATTTACCTTAGTATAATTTGGAGATGTCTGATGATATCTTTGTTAGATTTAAGAATTTATACTTAGGTATTCAGAGCACGCTTTTTAATTAGAACTCGTTAAGTGGTCAAAAGTTTAAGGTTTACTGTATCACAGCTGTTTTTTAAAAGAAATTTTTGTCAAATCAATGTTAATTTTTGACAGATTTTCATAACTACCATTGGTATATGCTGGTATAAAATGTAATAGTTAACCTTGTACATGGTTGAATATGATGTAACGTAGGATCTTGAAAACAAGCTGGGACAATTTCGACTAAACATTCTTTTTATAATGTCAGTGTATTTGGTGTGAATTGTTTTGATGCTATTTGTATTTAAAGTTGAAGCTATTTGTTCATTTACCTTAGTTTTTATTCATTAACTCATTAACTCCCAAGTTGTGAAGAAAAATTCTCCCAACTGATAAGAATGTGTTTCTTTGTTGCTTCATTCTGAGAATTCGATGAAACATAACATTTCTAGTGAAAAATAATCTGCTAGTTTAGATTTTCTCTAATTCTTATTGACACCATGTTTGTCGGTGCATTAATTTTGCGAGGAGAATTTAAGTTATGATCAATCTTGGGAATAAATGGGTTCATTTTAGTGTCTCCGTTTAGCGCGTACTTTACTTAATGCCTTGAACAATTTAATGCAGTTTGTATTGTACTTTTTCTTACTTTTTTGTGTAAGAGAAATAGAGAGGGTATAAAATACAAAAACTGCGTTTGTTTTCATTGTCTGTCTCCATATTCTAAGGATTCGCGTGAGATGCAGGGAGAACAGATCCTACGGGGACTTCAATGCTTATTTTGACCCGCGCGCGCCAAGTTGATAATCTTTGCAGCTGACAGTGTACTGACATTCCATGTTTCAAGCCCCCACCCACTTAACAAACGCTCATCGACTCTTCGATTGTGTCTCTTTCACTGTCTACCGTTCTCCATATTGTCACACGATTTTGAATGCGACGGACGTGTTCTTACTGTTACTTGTGTGCGCCCTTTTTACTTTTTACACCTTTTCACATTTGTGCATCTCTTTTTTCTCCTTCCTTTTGTTCCTTCCCTTTTTTTCATCGTACTTTTCCTTTATTCCCATTTTTACGCGCACTTCTTTCATCGCCCTCAACTTTATTCTTCTACGCGCTTCATTAGACGCGACTTTTCTGTTTCAGTTTTCATTCGTCTCAATCTTCGCTTAACGTCAGGTCTCTTACAACTCGTATACCTCCTTACTTCCCCAGAGTAGTTGTTATTATGCTTATTTTTTTCACTTTAGGATAGTGTCCTCTTAGCATCATGTCTAGCAAAATCTTAGTTTTCCTTTCGACTCATTCCCAGTCCACAGGGGTCTCAATTTTAAGTCTCGTTGCCAGTGTTTGCTCTCCTCGGTCCTCTCATCACAGTAGCAGCTATAAAACGAAAGAGCTCCCTCCAAGTCTCTGCGACATAACCGATGCATTTTGTCGGAAACGAGTCCTTCAATGTCCAAATTAAGGCTTCTTCTATCATCTGATTGGGAATGGATCAAACTCTGGCCCAGGGTCCACCTACATCGCGAGTCCAAGATGGCAGCAGGCCAATCCACAGACTTCTCCGAGTCGGTAGCCGTCATCTTGGATGTAGACGCAGAGAGGACCTTGAAAAAGTGTTTTGACAATACAATAATCAAGAAAGGTTAAGTTATTGTAATGCTTCCTAAGAGGTAGTCGATAACAGCCCGAGAGATTCATCAGGAGCAAACACGTTCCGTCGATTATTGGACTCCGTGTCTCCTTACGTTGTAGAACAAACTCCTCGAATACGTACGCCTATATGCCCCTCTCCTCCTCCCCTAAATAGCCCTATACATCCCTTTATTGCAACTTTTAAAATTATACACCACAATACAACATTATACCCCTGAGTAGCACCGTAAATCCGTAAAATGAACTGTGCAGCGCATCACAACAATATGAACCCCTAAATAGTACTATGCTTCCCTCTACTGAATTTGTTTCACCATACATCGCTCTATAAACTATTGCTCCAATTTGCCACGAAAATCATTGTGGATATTTGTCCGCGGACATTATCTATTCCAAGATGCCAAAACTGTGAGCTTCAAGGGACAATGTCCAAGGACAAATATCCGAACATGTTTTCGTGCAAAATAGAGGCTATTGTGATTTTTATCCTTCAATTATTTTGCAACGCTCGTGAAAGAATCTTTATGAACAGCTCACTGAATTGATCTAAATTTGACACGAAGACTTATCGAGGTAGACGTAAGGTTTGCAAATTGGGTAATATCGCTTGCGTGATATTCTTGGATATAACCCAGTATTAGCTGGGGGATATTTAGTCACTTGCTGCGTTTACACCAATTGCGCGCGAGCAAAAATATTTGATGGATCATAAAAAGCAACAAGTACCCCTAGATAGCACTATACTTCCCTCTTCCACAATTTACATCACAATACAGCGCTATAAAACAACATGTACCCTTAAATAGTACTATACTTCACTCTTCTGCAGTTTACATCACTATACAGCGCTATACAACAATATGTACCCCTAGATAGCATTATACTTCTCGCTACTACAGTTTACATTACTATACAGCTCTATACAACAATATTTACCCCTAAGTAACCTTGGTCGGCATAACAGAATACATACATCGAAATTTTCCATGCTTTGTGTCTTTCTCCAAGGTTCATTAAATACTCGATGAAAACCTTTGCGTCGTTCAAAGAAAACGCAGCATTTTCCAGCGCAGTCGTGACTCGTTTGACGTGAAGACACAGAGATGGCGGGTTCATTAAGGCTTTAAATTTCAAACTCTTGAAGGCGGGAAATATTTCTGAAACAAAATCGTTCACGAACATCACTATTAATTCTGAATAATATAAATTCGATTCACGTTTACTTTAGATAACAAATTTTACTCCCATTTTTCCAATCATACAAAGAAATCAATACACTAAGCAATACCTTCAACAAGACACAGTTACACAGTTGTAAATCTCCATCCTCATCCTCAGTAGAACTATGCTATCACAAAGGTGGAATAATCGCGGAAGAATAACCGCGCTTAAGACCTTCCTATATACCAAGGAATTCGTGCCACTGGATTCGACATGTGCCAGTAACACACTTTCACATTTAACGTGACGTTCAGCTAAGATCAGCAAACTGTTTCTTTTTTTCTTCATTTTGAACGATTCCAATCCTAATAGTGGTATCATATTTGCATAAGAAAGCTAATGTCAACTCGAGACTCTACATTAATTTTTGTGGATGAAATGAAACACAACAAACCAGAGATACCACGTACTTAAAACACTAACCGTTTAAGAGCGACGGTCAGGAAATATCGACCATTGAGTGGCAAGAGTTGAAAAATGAATTTCGCTTATTTTCTGACTATAAAAAGCTACTAGGAATAGAAGAAATTTAATGTATTTCTTTTTCTTCCGGAGCGCTTTAATTCTAAGAAAACTGAGAAAAACGAATTTGACCCGCGACGATCCCGAAAGGTCCCGCAAGCAAGTGTGAAATTGATATTTTAAACTGACTTTTGGTCTTCAACGAAAAACGGTTCAAAGGATCGTGACACCGAATTTTGATAGAGTGAGTGTCGTACTTTCCCAGAAACTATATGACTTATCTTTATTGATGTTCATAAATAGCAAACAATGTGCAGGAAAGTGCTGTATTTTCAAACGTGAAAAATCCCGCAAATACCTCCTTAATTCAAATGTTTTTTTCCCTATGTGGTATAATTCAGATTTTCCTCTTAACTATGTCATAAGAGGGATTTAAGGTTGTCCTTGATAATATGTTAGAATTAGCATGGGTTTTCTTTACAGCGCCTCACGCGAAGGTTTTGAAATGACAGTAATTCATTCAA